ACGAGAATACAATGATAAATACTATACGAAAATACACCTCAAAGTTGGCGTTTTAATAAAAAAAAAAAAAACGTTTTTTTTCTCATTATGCACTGCATGCTGCAGGATTTTTTTTATGTGGTGCACACTGTCCACACAGACCCATTCTCTCTCATGTGGGCCTACCAGCTTTCTCTTGCTTGATTTGAAGCTGCTAGAATTTACGCATTTAAATACGTCAGAAACAGTGGCACGTAAGACGTATATATACGACGTAAACAGTCAAAGGGTTAAACTCGCAAGTAGAGGTTCCCCTGTATTGTTAAGCACAAAGAAAGCCACTAGCATGCATATTCTTTTCAGGCAGACTAATCCTAATGCTTACAGACTACTTAAGACTAGACATAGTTTGAGTGGTAAATTTTAATTATGCATTATTGCAAAAATGAGAAGTAGCAAAAATATTACGATTAGCACAATTTACATAGTACAATATTGCAATTTTAATACTTTAAACTTATTTAGTAAGCTTTTTGATGTACAGTTATTCGTATAAAGCTTTAGTAATTGTTAATGAAATCATTTTAATATATATTAGCCTTATGAATAAAAGTTAAAATACTTCATAAGGTAGATCTACTTGTTTCCTGGAGTATGCCTGGAGAGAGCTCCGGGGGTCAACACCCTCACGGCCCGGTCTGTGACCAGGCCTCATGGTGAATCAAGGCCTGATCAACCAGGCTGTTACTGCTGGCCACACACAATCCAACGTACGAACCACAGCCTGGCTGGTCAGGTGCTGATTTTAAGTGCCAGTTTGCAGATGATTTAAGTCTATGTGTGCTCTTAGTCTTGTGCAGCCACTCACCCAACCACCCAATTCCCATGTCATTTCTTACAACAATTTTGGTGAAGTATTAATACTGTAGTTATATACATGCACCTATTTGCAGTTACAGGAGCAGCATAATGCTCTTGTGGTGTCCTGTTTTCTCTAATTTTATATACAGTGGTACTCCGAGTTTCATACAGCTCCCAACTCGAACAATTGTGTAAGTGTATTACTGTAAGTGCTTTTGTAAGTGTATTTTTGGGGGTCTGAAACGGACTAATCTAATTTACATTCCTTATGGGAACAAATTCGTTCGGTAACGGCACTCGAACAGCCTTCTGGAGCGAATTATGGCCGAAACTCAGGGTACCGCTGTATATTATTTTAAAGTTTCCAGTGGCTGTATTATGTATACCTTAGGTAAACCTTTTAAATAGTTCTGCTAATCAACTTATGAAGAATTTTCTAGTATCCCTTCAGCACCTCTTTTTAAGTTTATAGTTACTGTCTCTTGTTCTCACTATTGGTGCTAAGGAATCTTCTTCATCAATTATTTTGTATTCTTTGGTAATCCTGTTCTATAAGTCAGCCAGTGAGGGCATGTCTAATGCCTCCATTCTTTCTTTGTAACTCATGTCTTTTAGTTGTTTCAACCTATTTGTTGTTCATCTTTGAAACTAATATACAGTGGACCCCCGCATAACGATGGCATCACATAGCGATTTTTCCACATACCGATTACTTTTATCGCAAAATTTTTGCCGCGCATACCGATTAAAAACCCGCTTACCGATTTTCGTCCGAGACGCGTCCAATGTGCCCTCACATGTGCCGGCCGTCCCATTGTTTACCAGCCAGCCTCCGCGGTAACATCCAAGCATACACTCGGAATATTTCGTATTATTACAGTGTTTTCGGTGCTGTTTCTGGAAAATAAGTGACCATGGGCCCCAAGAAAGCTTCTAGTGCCAACCCTGTGGTAAAAAGGGTGAGAATTAGTATGGAAATTAAGAAAGATTTTGAAGGGTTTGGGGCTAACCCTGAGAAGCCTATGCCAGTTGTGGAATCCATTGTGCCTACTTCAAAGATTAAGGAAATGTGTGCACAGTGGGTTGAACTGCAAACCTTTATAGATGAAAATCACCCTGACACAGCTGTTGCAAGCCGTGCTGGTGACTATTTCAATGACAATGTTATGGCCCATTTTAGGAAAGTCTTGAAGGAACGGGAGGTACAGAGCTCTATGGACAGATTTGTTGTGCGACAGAGGTCCAGTGACTCTCAAGCTGGTCCTAGTGGCATTAAAAGAAGAAGGGAAGTAACCCCAGAAAAGGACTTGCTACCTCAAGTCCTAATGGAAGGGGATTCCCCTTCTAAACAGTAAGAAGATAATGCTCTCCCCTCCTCCCATCCCATCAATCATCACCAGATCTTCAATAAAAGTAAGTGTCATTTAATTGTGCATGCCTTTTTCAGTTTGTGTGTATTAAAATTAACATTTCATGTGGTAAAAAAAAATTTTTTTCATACTTTTGGGCGTCTTGCACGGATTAATTTTATTTCCATTATTTCTTATGGGGAAAATTCATTCGCATAACGATTATTTCGCATAACGATGAGCCCTCTTGCACGGATTAAAATCGTTAACCGGGGGTCCACTGTAACTTGTTCACATTTTATTTTCAAGTGTAGATAATAGACACTGTATGCCATGAGCGTTTCTCTCAGCATTCTCCAATCCATATACCTAAATGGCTATTTTAAAGTTGGCCAGTGACACACAAGAGATTCTCACTATTTTATTCTTGGGAGCTCCTGGTGACAAACTTTTGTCAGTGTTGACTCCAATGTCCCTCTTTGATGTTTTTTATTAGCTTATTAATCACTATGTGTACATGCATGTGCACAAATTCGTAAATATAGCATTATCACAATGTGAAAAGGATACAGAAGTAAAAGTAACATATTTATGTTCTCTTGGTCTTCAAGTGTAGACTAGTTCAGTTTCCTTTTCCTGGTAAGTCACATGTCACCCACAATACTTTAAGGCAGGTCACATGGCCTGGCAACATGTTCACTGGGATGTGTTGCGAGTTGCCTGGTGTGAGATGCCAGGTATGAGTTGAATGGTGAGATGCCAGGGCTCAGGTGTGGGAGTGCCAGATTTGTAGGCGAGACTGACCTTCACGAGAACGTACGAATGGATGACCACTGCAGTAGGCTTACTGGCCCTTACTTGCCAAGTACTTCTCTATCTTAATTCTTTTCACTCATACTTGTGTGCAACTTATTTTCAAAGCTACCAAAAGTGTTAGCCTCAATGATTACTTGACAAATTCTTCTACTAATCTAGTTCTACTGCTAACTCCCCACTTCCCCCCCCCCCCAGGGAGGTTCCTGGGTGCTAGCAAGGGGTTGAACCAAGGAATTTGACCTGCCCCCTTTTTTGGAATGAACCTGCTTGCCTCTTATTCCCTTAGGCACTGTGTGATGCCTACAAGTTTGACATTTCCCAAGAATGTGATAAAAACTATATGTATTTTGGTACCTGCACAATCCAAGAAAGGTATCCCTACATTGAAAAACCTCAAGCCCATACTTCAATGTATGCAACTGGAATAGTGCAGAGTGCAACATGAATTTGTAACAGTTAAATACAAGCATTAAAGTCCAAATCTAATTCAAACCTTCCATCGAGAAATGTCGGATTTGAAAATAAATTGAAAAGGTATTCTCTTATCTCTGCAAAACCAATATCCTAAAATGCACCAACACACTAGCTTGAAGCTCAGAAGTTACATTTATGAAATTATCAGCACTGGAGAATTAAAGCTAATCAGATGCAACATTCAGAAATTATTGCATTAAAAGCGTTATTTCAGTTTTCACACTTTAAAAAAGGGCCTACACAGGTCAAAATCAATCAAATTTTCTTCTAAGACTGATCAACTTTAAGTAAGCAATACGGCAAAATACAGTGATTAACTAAGCAACCAAGTAAGCTTTATTTAAGCTGAGTGCATAGCACCAATTTTTAAACAATGGTCTTGAGGGCACACAGATGTGTTTTTAGGCACATAAAAGTACATTATGCTGATTTAACCTAGGATAACCCAATAAAGTCAAACACCAACTTATTTCTAATCAGAAGAGATATTCTCAAATTATTTCATGGAAACTAATTTGATTAGTAGAAATGACACATTACCAAACAACTTACACAACCTAACATCAAGTGATAGCTTCCTTTAAGGAAATCACATCAGCACTAAATGATGATGAATTTTCCACTTATTGCATCGAATCCAAAATTTTCATCTAAACGACCTAAACCCAAGAAACGTTTTCAACAATTCAAGACTGATACCATTCTCAATTTTTTTTTTTAATCAAGAGGAAAGCACTATACCTGCTGGGGTCATACAGTTAGTCACCAAGGATAACAAAGAAGTCAGTGCATCATCAGGGACTAGTGATCTTAAAACACTGGGGTCCTTTAATTTTCTCCCCCACAATGCAACCCACAATATTCCACTAATTCCCAAGTACTTACTGCTAGGTGAAGAGGGGCAGCAAGTGTTTACCTGGAGAGAGTTCCGGGGGTCAACGCCCCCGCGGCCCGGTCTGTGACCCGGTCTGTGACCTGGTCTGTGACCCGGTCTGTGACCTGGTCTGTGACCCGGTCTGTGACCAGGTCTGTGACCAGGTCTGTGACCAACGTTTCACTTATTCTGGGGTTTGATCCATGGTCCCTCAATTTGTAAGCTGAGGATACTATCAACTGAGCCACGAGCAATTAAATGATCCCAAGGTCTGGACCAATCATCCAATATCTGGTTACATTTTACACCAGCTGGATGAATGAACTGTTATTTGGTAAGACTGTAACCTGGTAAATGATTAAAGTTTGCAGAAATTTATTGAAATTGTGTCTACATACTGCATTAGGTAAATTAGCCAAATGATGAAACTGCAATACATGAAATTAATGCCTTTAAAATTGAACCTGCTCAGTGAGGTCTGACAAAGACCCAGTATGACCTCAGTAATCCTGTTCTTCTGGATTGTCATTCACAGAAAGAGGTTGTGGTGTGTAATCTAGCTACTCAGTCAGAACACAGTATATCTCGTCAGGTTAGGCCAAACATAATAATGATTTAAATTACCTGCATATTACTTTTAGTCTTACCTGACCTCCATGGCCATCGAATACTCCAAAGAAGGACATTTTCTTATCCCCGACATCCACGTCTTGAATTATGCAGTACCGATCTTCCATATTTCCCCGGCGGCCCTGCATGCCATACAGCCCCACAATCCCATCTTTTAATTCCCAGGTCACATTATCACTCCCCAGAGAACCAGACACCAGATCCAGGCCGCCAATGGTCTTAAAAGTGGTAATGGCGACAGAGTTGAGTCCCAGCACATACTGGGCTTTGACCAGCCAGTGTCGCATCAAGTGGCTGCTGCTCTGCAGGACCACACTAGCCACTATCACCAGGAACATGAGGAACATGAAGGGCCCAGGCTGGAAGATCTTGGTCTTGAGTGTCTCGCCAGGGCCAGGCACCAGGAACTCCACGATCCTGGAGGTGGTGACCCTAAGGTAGCGCAGGGTGATGTGGGCGTGGGCGGTGAACAGTTCGCACATTATCTCGTCTTCCATGACGTCGTCCATGGTGGTGGTGAGCAGAGACTGTCTTCAGTAACTCTCAGGGACCAACTGAGACCAAAATAACCAGTTGTGGGTTAAGCCAGCGTCTGCAAGCCGCCCTTAGTTAAAATTAACTCCACGGGTGCTATTAAGTCATCCTCTTCAGGGACTGTGCTCAACCAGACTGGGTTGTCTCCTCCCCACGCTCACTCAACGCTTCACCAGGGATTTAGGAAGAAATGTGAAAGTGTAATGAGGTGGTGTTAGGAGCAGCCAACATCACCGTCCTGCTGGGACACACATCACTGACGTCACTTGTTTACACCTCACAACACACCTCCCACAACAATTATTTTCTCTTAAATATATGATATATTTACCTTACCCTTTACTACATAATTATATATTTACTTATTTGAGTGTTGTGCTATATACTATATACATACAAGCCAAATCAATCACATAGGCAGCTCTAAGCCGAACTTTATCATAATAATAATAATAATAATAATAATAATAATAATAATAATAATAATAATAATAATAATAATAACAATAATAATCTTTACTTCTATAAGTACATTTACAACGTATACAGACTTATTCTTCTAGCTGACATCAGTGACAACACATTACCGCTGTATAGCCCTTGTGGCTTAGCGCTTCTTTTTGATTAAGTAAGTAAGTAAGTTTATTCAGGTATACACAAATACAGTTACATAGAATTATCATACATAGTAGCATGTGTGTAGAGAACCTGGGATAACCCAAAAAAGTCAGACAGAGTGACTTATTTCCCTTGGGGTCCTTTTACCTTATTATTATAATATAAAGGTTATAATATTTTCTTATTATTCTACAATGAAGATAACATCTTATTATCATACTAAAAAGACTATCTACTACACCAAGGTCATTAAGACTATCTACAATACGAGGGTCATTACTAGGAATAAGGTAGGCCCACTATATGTATCAACATATATTTTTGGAAGTTATTTTATGCATTGATGAGACATATTAACGTGAATTAACACGGCCTACACTTTTTTTTACCAAAACTAACATACAAACCAGACATAACAATTCTAAAATTAACGTAGTATAATATAGCTTAGTTGTAAGTGGCTCGTGGCCTGGTAGGCAAAGCTCTCGCTTCACACAGTGGGTCCATGGTTCGATTCCCGGTAAGGGTGACAACATTGGACGTTTCCTTACACCTGTTGTACCTGATCACCCAACAGTAAAATGGGTACCTGGGTGTGAGTCGTGTGGAATTTTTAAAATAATTTCCTAAATGTAGAACATATAAATGAATATAATAATTGTGTATTAAAATGATGCTATTTGGACCCTTCGAGAAATTTCGAATGAGGGGGGAGGATGGAGAACAGCTAGGGGAGTGATGCAGCAAAAAATACGCCATATTGAATTTAATGTGTGAACAGAGGACTGAATTGTGCAGTGTAATCAGGCGTTCTTGAAGGTCAATCGGGTTTTTTCGGCCTGAATTTGTAATAGGAACCCGTGTTAATGCCCCCTGCTGAAGAATTGGAAAATAGAGTACACCAATTCACCCAGGCACACCCCTCTGCTAAGTGACACTTACCCATAATGTACAGTAGTTTTTGCATTGAATATCGTAAATTCTAACTGCTAGGGTAAGGTTAGGGTGCTCCATCAGCAGGAGACATAAATAACTTACCACCTTTTATGTACCGAAAAGCTTCACAAGTACTGCCACCAATTATTGCAACTCTTTAACAAATCCATCGAATCCTCCACCTTCCCAGCAATTCCCAAAATAGCGAGGGTCACCCCGATCCACAAAAGAGGATTTGAATAACTATAGACCAATACACGTATCTAACTTACCTCTGCTCTCTAAAATCTTTGAAAAAAATATTTCATATACAGATCTATTCCTATGAAAAAATATTTCATATACAGATCTATTCCTACCTCGTCTCACACAACACACTAAACCCTGTCAGTTTGGATTCAGGACTAATAAAAGCACAAATGATGCTATTATACACATACTAGAACTAATATACACCGCTCTCGAGAAGAAAGAAGTCTCACTAGGACTCTTCACTGATTTATGTAAAGCTTTTGATACAGTTGACCATGATTTGCTGCACATTAAAGTAACACACTATGGTATACAAGGCACTCCCTCAACTACCTTAGTAACAGAAGCCAATATGTGTACACAAATGGAGCAAACTCTTCCACTCAATCAATCGCAGTCGGTGTCCCACAAGGAAGTGTCCTTGGCCCCCCACTCTTTCTCGTATACATCAATGACCTACCGAATGCATCACACCTACTCAAATACATATTATTTGCAGATGACACAAGATATGTCTTCTCTCACCCAAACCCAGTCATACTCGCCAACACTGTTAATGCTGAATTGCAGAAAATATCTACCTGGGTGATGACTAATAAGCTTACCCTCAATATTGACAAAACCTATTTCATTCAGTTTGGAAACAGAGCTGCAAATGTTCCACTTAACATAACGCTAAACGAATCACCCATCACAAGACTCACACAGGGAAAATTCCTAGGAATCCACCTTGACTACAGCCTCAAATTCCAGACACATATACAACAAATAACCAAGAAAATCTCTAAGACAGTAGGCATACTATCAGAGATACGGTACTATGTTCCACAATCAGCTCTCCTTGTACTGTATCACTGCAGTCAGAATGATAACAAATTCCCACTCCCGACAGCATACTCCACCAATATTCAAAAGTCTAAAACTGCTCATCGTAAAGAACATCCATACTTATTAATGTACCTACTACATACATAGAACACTACACTCAAACATAAACCCTCCACTTAAACTTCTCCTCACCAATCTTAACAGGATACACTACCATAACACAATACACAGATCTCTTTTTGATGTACCCAGAGTCCATATCACACTATGTAAAAACTCTATACCCCAAAATTTGGAATTCATTACCAGTAACTACTAAAGTAACCCGGTCTGAACATCAATTTAAAACTCTTCTCATAAACCACTTTCTCACCCTAGACTAAATACTCAATATTTAACTTTACCAAAAAATCTCCCAATTACCTAAATCTTAAAACTTCAAAACTAAACGCCTAAAGTTCAATGTTATATTCCCATAATATAATTTCAACATTTATTATTGAAACTATTGTAATTTGAGTAAAATTACTGTCTACTATAAATAAAAGCAGATGTACAACTTAAACAAACTATGATCAATTTATTTAGTATTAAGTAGTGTAAAAATTTGTCTGGACTGCCTCCAAGTGAGTTGCCTACCCTGGCAAGCTCTGTTGACACCGAGCTCTGAGGTGGGTACCTCAGCCTCACAAGTGGCTTATAGGACAGATTTTCATAAATGACTGATGTTGCAAGAAATCTCGCCTGCATGCACGTTTAAAGGACTAACTTACTTGGTGATGTAGAATCTATTCTGGTCTTCCACCTCCCTAAGCTTAGCCCCTTTGGACTTACCCTCAGAAACCATGTGCAACTGGGAGCCTTAATTCCTGCAATATTCAATCATTATTAGTGACCTGCCTGCACCTCAGAAATTCCTATTTCCAAGGGGGAGGGGTGAATCCCCTAGAGTACTATGCAGAAAGTGACACTAGCTTCTAGGCTGACAAGAGATGCTGGTATGTACTAGGCATGAACTGCCAGCTGCACAAAGGCCTACAGCTCAACTCACTCGCAACTTTCCCCGGACACTGGCCAGAATCCTAAGAAAAAGTGGAGGTCTTGTCTTACTGTATGGGCCTGACGGAGGAGGTTATCTATGGTACATCGAGGTGCCTCCACCAGATTTCCCCAGGTCTAATATGTGAAGACACGTGGGGGCGCCGCCTGCTGATCACGGCACGTGTTGTTCAGATGGTGTCTAGTCTTAGAAGGAAGCTCTGGCATCTTCGAGACCCGTGCCTCGTAGTTCAAACTTGGGCTGCCAGTTCTCCCTAGCTAACTTATCCTAGTGTTTGCCTACATTTGACCTATTACTACCTATGTTAAGGTCTTAGGTCTACATTATTATTATCTACAGTTGCCTCAATAATCCTAATATTAGTGTACTAACAGTATAAACTACCTACTTCTTCCCTGAAGGGTAAATCTATCAATTAAGAAGTACCTTCCAACCACCTTCGCCAACCCGGGTGAGTGTGTTTGTGTTTTGGGTGGGTGTAAGGGCCCTCGAACGGTGTGTTTTTCCCTGTTGGGACTTCTCGGCCCGAATAAGTTCCAACATCCTCCCGCCGGCGAAGGTAGGTGCTAAGTCTAAATCAAGTTCACCTTCCCCAAGCCCCCACAGCGGACCCTAGACACGAGTGCCGTCCGGCCACTCTCATCGAGCAGACTCCGGTCTAACTTCAACCATCCAGTTTCCCCTGCGTGGACCTCTGGGGGTGTAAACTTGTTGATTCCGGTGGTCTTAGCACCCTTTCCTTTAACTTTAACATCTTTTGTATGTCTAGCCTTGACTGAATGGCTCCGTACTTTCCCACCCAGTGGCCCACATGCCCTGGTAGCCTTTCCTCCCACTGATACGAAGTTCCCTGGATTTAATGGCAATCTATCTCCCTCTTTACATACCCTGTAAAAGTGTTTTCCCAAGGTGGCAGAGTGTTCGTCACTCCCTACCTGGTTCAGCTTCCCTGGCGGTTCATCGTGTATACTGGTACTCGTTATCACTACTCCCCCAGCTATCATGGGGACAGCTTCTTCTCTATCTGGCATGGCAGGGAATTCAGGTGGAATCCTGCCGCCTATGATGTATCCTACTGGGGATCTGTATAAACCAATTCCTTCCCTAAAGGTCCATCGTGTAGACAGGAAGTCATCTATCTGATTGGCTCCCACCAGGATACCTACATTTCTGACTGTGTCAGTGGTAATTCCCTGGTCCCAGCTTCACTCAAGGTCTTAAATCGCTTAGCGTGCAGCAAGACCTCTCGCCATTGCCGTGGTAACGCCTACCACCAAGGGTGTAAAGTCATGCGATTCCACCCAATTTGACTGTGACATCCACCACTCATAAGATTTGGGGGGGGGCCTGACTTATACCCCCCCAACATCATACTAACTTTTTTGTGGCCTTCAACGTTAATTTAGCCACCCAAATCTTTGTTTCAAGGGTACTTGTCCCGATCAAAATAATCGGATTGTTTCAGACCTGTGCCCCTTCACAACCTTTTCCAGACTGTAGGTAGGGCAGCACCTCGTGATTCTCACTCGGGTTAGAAACTTTACTCCCACTCATCACGCGGGTACCATTTCA